ATCACTGAAGCATCACCTGGGCCAGGCCCAGGGTCAGCTCAGGTCATATATTTTGTTCCCTCCCTTTGGGGAAAGGAAGGCAATGGGAGACCAGACCCAGTGTGGTCAGGACTCAAGAGTGCAGTGTTCTCAGGTCACCAGCAGGGATCAGCACTCCTGTTCTACATTGCAGCTTTTCCTCTCCCTTTCTCTATTGAGGAGCCTTCCTTGGGCCCCTGTCCACATCCTTGTGTTCCTTCCTGTCTCTTCTCTGAGCGAATCATTTCCTCATTTAGATCATTTTGGCCGGGCACTGGTGGCTCACGCCTGTAATCCTAGCTACAGGAGGCTGAGATCTGAGGATGGTGGTTCAAAGCCAGCCTGGGGAAGGAAAGACCATGAGACTCTTTATCTCTAATAAACCATCAGAAAACCGGAAGTGGCGCTGTAGCTCAAGTGGTAGAGCGCTGGCCTTGAGCTGAAGAGCTGAGGGACAGCGCTCAAGCCCCATGACCGACCGAAAAAAAAAAGAAAGGTGATTTTGTCCATCAGTGCAGGCCCAGGTGACCTCCCAGACGAGACAGCCTGACGTCTGTCCTGACCTTGGGAAATCCCACAACCTCCCTCACTTCCCCAGCTTCAAGAATTGTTGTCTGGTGAGCAGAAAGTGCTTCTATTGTCTCATCTCATTCAGCTCAGTCAGGTTCTCTGGTTTGGTGTGGAGGGAAAATGAGGTCATGAGTATTCATGAGGTCATTTCTAGCAGGTTTTCATATATGTGCCAATAAAGCCCTTTTCTAAGCCCAAGCCTCTTCCATGAATCAACTTCTAACAGCCCTCCTCGTTTCCCTGCTTTAATGGGAATGCTCTCACCTCTCTCATCCCAGGACAGCAACTTGATCTCTCTGGACCTGATCTTCTCTTTTGAGAACTGACACAACTCAGATCTTGCTTTTTCAGGTCCTACCTTTCATAAACCTTCCCTAGCCCACTCTGCTTCCACAAGTAAGTCCCACAATAACTCTACAGGCTCAATCTATTCCTTACCATGTCCTTGACCCTGGCTTCATACCCCTTTCTCTGGGAAGCCTTCCTTCTTCCCGCTGCAGGCTATAGAGACCAACCTGAGAGAATCCTAGCTCTTCCAGGGACCAGCTGTGTCACCTTAACCCTGTACTCTGTTTCTTCATCTGTGAAATCGTACTGTGATACACGAGTCAAATATATTGGGAGGCCAGGGGTAAAGGCTGTGGAAGAGGTTAGCATAGTATGGTGGCAGGGCGCATATGGGAGGTGTTCTGGGAGCTTGTCCCCTATCTTTTCTTTTTGAGCAGGTGCCCATGAATCCAGCTGCCCCCAAATCCAGTTTGCTGATGACAACCTGCCTTTGTTGCTATGCCCTGGCTGCCTCTGCTTCTCCCATTGCTCTTGGCCTGAGCAAGGAGGCCGACACCAAGGGGCAGGGAGGTGGGAGTCAACACAGGGTTAGGTAGGGGGCCTCAAAGCCTTTCCCTACAGTGGAGTCCACTCCCCTCCCTGGAGTTGCTAGGGGCCCCTTCTGGCCTGAGGCTGGGGAAGGGCTCCTAGAGGCCTGGGGAAGCACAGAAGGCTGGTGGGAGGGGAAGGAGAGAGGGAGGCAGGGAATACCGACCACTCAAAATCCATCCTAGCTCCTTTCCCCCATCCACCCCCAACCCCTCCACCAAACACGATCCCTGGGTTAATTTTTAGCATCGCAGCTCACACATTAGTCACTCCCTGTCACCCACCTACACGGCAGGAGGCTGCTATGCTGGTGCCGTCATCCATCAGCTGAGAGGTGGGATTTGGTCCCTCTCTGGATCCCCCCCAAATCTCTCACCCCCGTGTGTACACAGACACCCAGCCAGGAGCCCTTACCCCCCCCCCCCCCCCCCCCGCCCACCTGGGTGAGGAGTAGAGACACCACTCCCCAGACCAGCCAAGGCCAGTAGTGTGGGGACAGGCTGTGGGCAGACAGACCAGGATCTACTGGAGAGGAGAAAGCCAGGCTTCCTTGTCTCCCACTGTCTCCCCCCCCCCCAACCCAAGGTGCTGAGCGGTGCCCTGCAGCTGGTCACCTGGCAGCCCTGGGCTTTGGGAACAAAGGTGTGAGGGCCCCGCCCCTAGACCCACAGCACACACACACCCCCATCCCCACCTGTTTGTCCTCACTGCACAGCAGCTGTTCAAACACTGATCTCGGGAAGGCTCCATTTTCTTTACCCAATATCTTCCAGGCCAAGGAGGATAGGCTAGCCAGGTGCAGGTCCCCCAACTGGAGCCACCACCAGCCCCACAGGGACTTCCCCAAAAGAGCCCACAGATGCCAGGTGCAAATGGAGAAGAGGAGGGGGTATCTCCCCCCACCCCCGCAGGTAAGGCAGGCTCGGCAGTAGAGGTCCCACGCACCCCCCCTCCCCGCCTCCCCAAGCGGGGGAGGCCCAAAGGGAAGAAGGGATATTCCCCCTCAGCAAGGCTTAACTAAGCACCTGCTGTGGGCGGGTTTGGCCCCTTCAGGGCTGAAGCTTTCTTGATGATTCACATGTTGGTTTTTGTGTATCTATTTATTTAATGTTGCCAGTACTGGAGGCTGAAGCCAGGAACTCACCCCATTTAGTTCTCCACCCCAGCCCTGAACTGCAACTTTAAACAAGGCTGGGGCTTCCTCCTCCCCTAATGGCAAACAGGAGAAAGTACTGTGAAGAAAACACAAACAACACCGGCAGGAGGCTTGACATCAAGAATAAGAGGGATGGAAAAAGAGGCCAGATCAGTTCAAGGAACCTCTCTGAGAAGGTGATGTGAAGCTGAGCAGAAGTCAGGCTGGAAGAGTATTCTAGGCAGAGGGAACAACAAGGCAAAGGCCAGAAACAGGAGAGAGCTGGCAGAGAGAAGGAATAGGAACAGAATGATTAAGTATGGCTTGAATATGGGACATGGAAACAGTCTGAGACTCAGGACAAGGCTGAGACCTGAGAAGGCCTTGTGCAGGACAAGGGGCAGTAGGTGGCTGCTGGGCCCTGGGAGTGGGGACATCTTTTGGTAATTTATGCTCAGAGGATGGGCCATGGTAAGAGTTTGAGCCACACTCTTGATTTCAGGGAAGCTATGATGGGTTTTCTGCAGAAGCCTGTGATCTGCATCCTTTTTAAAAAGATGGGCCTGTCTGCTGAGTGGAAAACAGCAGAGGGGAAAGGGAAAGCAGGGGAGGCACCCAGGAGGCAAATACAGCAGGCAGGGCAGGGCAGGGCAGGGCGGCAGCCTGGCTGGGAAGGGGCAGGGAATACTGGAGTAGGACACTTAAACCCCAGGCCCAGCTCTGCTCACTTGCTCCATGGCCCTGCACAGGTAAAGGGCCACCTCAAGGAAGTAAGAATAAAGCAGTGAATGAGACCACAAAGGGCCCTAAGGCCTACTATGAGGAGCTACATTTGACCTCCTGCTGGGGGAGGGGACAAACCCAAACCCATGAAAGTGGAGACAATTTCAGATGGTGATGCATTTGTGGTGGAAGTCAAGTGGGGCTGTGACAGATGAGGGCACAATGAGATGTTCATCTGGGTGGCAGAGCCTTACTGGGCACTAAAGGGGTCAACTGTGGGAGAAAGCCAGGTGCCAGCTGTAATCCTAGCTACTCCCATAATGACAATTTGCCTTGTGAAGGTTAAATGAGTATGTGACTTTAAATAAGTATCACTATCCCACAACACTGTGAAATTTATGTAATCACTTAATCTCAATAAAAAGCATTTTTTAAAAAAATCCTAGCTAGGGGCTGGGAAGGTGGCTCAGTGGTAGAGTGCTTGCCTTGCATGCATAAGCCCTGGGTTCGATTCCTCAGTACCACATAAGCAAAAAGAAAAAAGCCGGAAGTGGTGCTGTGGCTCAAGTGGTAGAGTGTTAGCCTTGAGCTGAGGGACAGCGCCCTGGCCCAGAGTTCAGGCCCCACAACCGGACCCAAAAAAAAAATTTAAAAAGAAAGAAAAAGAAAAAGGAAAAAGCTGGAAGTGGCGCTGTGGCTCAAGTGGTAGAGCACTAGCCTTGAGCTGAATAGCTGAGGGACAGCGCCCAGGCCCAGAGTTCAGGCCCCACAACCGGACCCCCCACCCAAAAAAAAAAAAAGACTCTTAGCTCCAATTAATCAACAAAAAGCCAGAAGTGGAGCTGTGGCACAAGTTGTAGAGGGCCAGGCTTGAGCAAAAAAAAGGTAAGGAATAGCTCCCAGGCTCTAAGTTCAAGGCTTAGTACCAGCACCAAACAACAATACTAACAAACAACAACAAAAAGAAAACTCCACACCTTTGGGAAGAGCCAGTATAAAAAAGAAGGCAGGGCTGGGAATGTGGCTCAGTGGTAGAGTGCTTGCTTGCATTGCCCTGGATTCAATTCCTGAGCACCACATAAACAGAATAAGCTGGAAGTGGCACTGTGGCTCAACTGGTAGAGTGCTAGGCTTGAGCAAAAGACTCTAAGGGACAATGTCCAGGCCCTGAGTTCAAGCCCCAGGACTGGCAAAAAGAAAAAAAAAAAAAAGGTAGCGGCAGAATCCTATTCTGAGAGTACTGGGGAAAAATTAGGTGATAGAGGTCTATCAGGTGGAGTAAATAGTGACCAAGTCCCAGGCAATCTGGCTTCTGCCCTGGATGAAGCCGAGATACTGGCAAAAGAGAGGAGCCAAGCATTGGTGCAAGGATAGTTAAGGACTCAGACATGGCACCCACTGTGCATTGTGGATACTTGTGGAGGAAAGCTAACGCAAAGGGTGCATCTTCAAACAAGAGGGCCAAGTTCTACGAGGGTGTGGGGCCTCCATTCAGGCCTGTTCATGTCCCTTAAAATCTCCCAGAAGATTTCCCTAGCCTCAGGCTGCAAGAAAAGAAAGAAGAGAAAAAAAAAAAAAAGTAAAATATAGTGTATGTGTGTTTGGAGGGGGTGCATGGTGGAGTCAGACTTGCCCAAGCCTAGTCCTCCCCCACAGGCAGTAACCATGCTGACACAGATGCAAAAAGAAAAACCAAAAAACCTTCAATTTTATACACTTTGTGGTTCAGAAGCAACATAGGCAAAACAGTGGAACAGTCTGTGCAGGCCCAGCCCACCTGAACATGTCAGGCCCTGTTCTCCAAGGGGCCACAGAGCCCAGGACCCCTGCCTGGCAGGACCCCACTTAGTTACAGGCCCTTAGGAAGGGGCCAAGCCCTTAGAGGTCAAGGTCAGAGGGAGGACGACCAGCACCTTGTCTCAAGGGGCCTGCTGGAACCGAAGGTGTGTGTATAGGGAGACGGACCCATCTCCCCAAGGATAAGGGTGGGGAGCAAAGAAAGCTGAGGAGAGGGCTTCATGAGACAGGTCTCTCCCACCTGAGGTTGGGGAGATTTTCCTGGACATCCCACAAGGCACTACTGACCCAGACTAAAGGATAGCACACCCATCTTTGGGTCCCGACCCGGAATGCCTATTCTACTCCTGTTCCAGGATCCCACTGTGGTTTAGAGGGGAAGGAAGGGACCTGGTAGAGATAAGCCATGAGCCAAGCACGCCAAGCCCAGGCTAGCCAAGGACCCTCTCCCGAGGCGCTGGGCTCCTGGGGTCCTCTGTGCCGGGCACGACCACCACACCACCTGCCCTCACGTTTTGCACTGGTGTTACGAATGAATAAATAAATAAATACCTCCCCGCCGCCCCCACCCCACCCCGCCCCATCCCCGGCCCCTACAGCTGGCTCTCTTCCTCCTCCAGGGAGCGATTGAGTCCCGGGATGAACTTGAGCAGCCGCCGGCGGAAGCTGCGGTACTTGGTCTTGCGCAGGCCGGGCCCGCACAGGGCCTGCTCGCGGGCCTCAGTCCAGAGCGCGCCCGGCGCGCCCCCGCCGCCGCCCGGGCCCGCGCACCGCACGCTGGCGCTGCGGCTCAGGGCGGCGCGCGGCACCGGGCCGGGCAACGAGGCCGCCGGGGCCTCCGCGGAGCCCAAGCCCGGGGCGCGCGCGGGGGGCAGCGGGGGCGGCAGGGCAGGGGGGTCGGCACCCCGAAAGAAGCACGTGTGGTAGACGGCGGCGTCGTCACCGGGGTCACCCCGGGTCCGCCGGGCACCCCCGCGGGGACCTCCTCCAGGGGCAGAGAGCAGCGGCCCGAAGGGCAGCGAGCCGGGGAGCAGACCGGCGCCGTAGAGACAGGAACGCACGGACTCCAACGTGTCGTAGATGCTCGGGTCCTTCACCACCAGCCCTGTCGGGGCAGCAGACATCAGGGGGGGCCCCGAGTGAGGCCTGGGATCCGAGGGCCCAGGTGGGAGGTCTAGGTTCTGTCTGTTGACCCCCTCTCCCTCCCTCTCCCCCGTGGTCCTGGCCAAAGCCCAACTCCAAAGCCTCAACTTCTCTCATCCGAAAAAAATGGACTTCTCTCATCCGAAAAAAATGGGTAGGGTACGCTGGTGGCTCATACTTGTAATCCTAGCTACTCAGGAGGCTGAGATCTTGAGGATCGAGATTCAAAGCCAGCCCCGACAAAAAAGTCCATGGCACTCATATCTCCAATTAACCATCCAAAAAAAAGCTGGGCATTGTTTAAAAAGAAATGTACTCGGGCTGGGAAGGTGGCTCAGTCGTAGAGTGCTTGCCTTGCATGCCTGAGGCCCTGGGTTCGATTCCTCAGCACCACATAAGCAAAAAGAAAAAAAAAGCCGGAAGTGGCGCTGTGGCTCAAGTGGTAGAGCACTAGCCTTGAGCTGAAGAGCTGAGGGACAGCGCCCAGGCCCAGAGTTCAGGCCCCACGACTGGACCAAAAAAATAAAATAAAATAAAAAGAAATGTACTCGGGCTGGGAAGGTGGCTTAGTGGTAGAGTGCTTGCCTTGGATGCATGAGGCCCTGGGTTCGATTCCGCAGCCCCACATAAGCAGAAAAAGCAAGAAGTGACGCTGTGGCTTAAATGGTAGAGTGCTCGCTAGCCTTGAGCCCAAGAGCTGAGGGACAGCGCTCAGGCCCAGAGTTCAGGCCCCACTACCAAGAGAAAGAAAGAAAAGGAAGGAAGGAAGGAAGGAAGGAAGTCATCTGACATATAATGTAACTCCTCCATACATCAGCTTTATAGTAATAAGCTGGTGGTGGAGCTGTAGCTCAAGTAGTAGAGAGCTAAAAAAGCTCAAGGACTGCACCCAGGCCCTGAGTTCAAGCCCTACAACTGGCACACACACACACACACACACACACACACACACACAATCAACTGAATTCTAAACTCAAGCTCCTCCTCTCCTGGTACAGGGGCTTGAACTCAGGGCCTGAGTGCTATCTTTTAGCTTTTTTCACTCAAGGCAAGCGCTCTACCATTGAGCCACAGCTCCACTTCTAGCCTTTTTGGTAGTTAACTGGAGATGAGAGGCTCACAAACTTTCCTTCCTAAGCTGACTCTGAATCATGATCCTCTGGTCTCAGCTTTCTGAATAGCAACGAGGATAACAGGCTGAGCCATTGCGGCTGGTTTATGAACTCAAATCTTTCCAAGGACCACTTATGACAGGAGGGCCACCAACAGGATTGAGAAGCGCTATGCAGCTGGAAAATAGAGGTAATACAATGTCACATTTTGCTTCATATGGCAATTGTGAAAACAAGGATGTTCAGCAGCCCAGGCCTGTGTGGTGCCCAAAGTAGTAGCTCAGCAAACCCTTTGTCGCTGTGAAGGGAACAGAAGCCCAGTAACTGGCAGGGATGGCAGACTGGGGGGTCTACACAGAGTAGGCAGCCCCTCCCCACCCCAATCCACTCACCATGCACCAGCCGCTGCTCCTGCACCATGAGGGATCTGTACTCTCCCCACTTCTCGTACAGGGTTTGCTGCAAGACACACACCCCCACCCAGCGTCAGGGCGACTTGCTTAACCAGGGATCAAAGAGGTTTCCAACACAGGAAGGAGCCCTAAGAGGGCAGGGGGATGGGTGGGGGCTGGATGCTCATATGTCCCTTACCTTCAGGTATTGTAGGCGAGCCTCCAGTTCTGCCTTCCGGATTGATGTTCCATACAGAGTTTCCAGTCTGAAGAATTGAGGGAGCAAAGGGGGAGTGAGCCCACGGGCTCACTTGATTGAGCATCTAAGCTCAATCAAGAACCCTCAGGTGCCACGGCTTCTAGTCATACCTCAGAACATTGCCAGATGCCTTGATGATGTCGACAATCTCCCGATGCCGGATACCTTCCACATTCAGTCCATTGACACTGGCAATGGTATCCCCTGCCAGGCAGAGAGGAGGTCAGCATCAGCTCCACAGGGCATGAGGGAAGAATTCAGATCCCTATGTTGGCCAGGAAGGGATGGGTAATAACCTCAAGGAACACTCGTGTGTGTGTGTGTGTGTGTGTGTGTGTGTGTGTGTGTGCGCGCGCGCGCCAATCCTGGGGCTTGAACTCAGGGCAAAGGCACGACCCCTGAGCTTCTTTTGCTCAAGACTAGTGTTCTACCACTTGTGCTACAGCTCCACTGATAAGATTTTCCAACCAGAGCTGGCTTTGAACCAGGATCATCAAATCTCAGACTCCTGAGTAGCTAGAATTGCAGGGGTGAGCCAGCACCTGGCCTTCAAGGAATACTCTTGAACTCCCTCCCTCCCCAATGCAAACGTGTAGAAAGACCTTCTGGATATCACTTTTACTCTGTCCAATGGTGGTACATGCTACAATTCACCAAGGTACATGCCTGTAATCTCAGCTATTTGGGAAGCTGAGACAGGAGGATCCCAGGTTCAAAGCCAGCCTTGGTAATTTAGCAAAACCCTATCTTAAAATTATAGGGCTCAGCTGGGAATGTGGCTTAGTGTTAGAACGCTTGCCTAGCTTGCTTGAAGCCCTGGGTTCGATTCCTCAGTACCACATAAGCAGAAAAAGCTGGAAGTGGCACTGTGGCTCAGATTGGTAGAGCGTTAGCCTTGAACAAAGAAGCTCAGGGACAGCACCCAGACTCTGAGTTCAAGCCCCAGGATTGGCAAAAAAAATAAATAAACGAATGAATTATAGGACTCAAGAGTTCTTGCCTAGCATATGCAAGGCTCTGGGTTCAATCCTTAAAATCACAAAGAAAACCAAAACCAAAACCAAAAAGTCATTTTCTCCCTGTCTACAGTGTCCACTAGTTTACCCAGGCCTGGAGTACTTCAGCCTAGGTACCAGGGTACAATAGGATGCATTAAGTACCCACATATTCACAGCCTTAGGTAGGTCTGTCCCCAAAGGCTAAGCCCTCCTAGGCCCCTGGACTGCTCCTAGAGTTTCTGTGTAGCTCATACCTAAGGGAGCCAAGTGCCAATGGCTCACATCTGTAATCTTAGCTACTAGGGAGGCTGAGATATGAGGATCAAAGCTCAAAGCCAGATGGGGAAGAAACTTCTGTAAGACTCTTCCCTCCTGAGTAGCTAGGACTTTAGATGGAAGCCACTGGCCCTCTACTCATCATTTCCTTCTTAAGAGGATATAACGTAGGTAGGTACCCTAGTTTGAGCTGTGTTGGGGCAGGGTAGACCTTTCTGCTTCATATCAAATATACAGTGGAATGCTGCTCCTGTTCCTGCCCCAGCTCCAGCCCATGCTGGGTTGTCAGATTGCCAGGAGGAGGCAGATCAACAGCACAGCAGTATCATTACCATTTACTAGACCTTGGCTCTGTGCCCAGAGAGCATCCCCCCTTTGTGGTGCTATGCCGTAATGATGTGTTGTTACCCCCATTTTGCAGACAGGACTGTGCAAGATCACATTTCCATAGATCCCAAACCTGGATTCTGTCCATTTACTCTCTGGCCTTCTCAAAGTAGAAGGGTTGATTTCAGGAGCGATTTCTCACACCTCTTAAAGTCATATCCTGCCCCAGCGCCCTGTTTTCTGGGCTCTGGCCCCACCTGGCGTGAGTCCAGCCAGCTGGGCAGGGCTGGACTCATGAACTCGGCAGACAAAGGTCACCATCTCCACACGCTGTTCCTCTCGGTGGTGAAGGCCATAAGTCTATAACAAACAAGGGGACCCTCAGTCTGAGGACAGGCAGATCCATCTGTCCCTCAGGCTGGCCTCCTGACCCCTAACCCCTCCATGCCCCGTTTTTCCCACCTGGATCTCAAAGCCAAAAGTCTGGTTATCCTCCTTCTCCAAAGTCAGCACCTTCCTGCAGGAGACACAGGGGTCAAGACTAACAGAAGTTTGAAGCATGGCAGAGCCAGGTGGTGCGCACCCATAATCCCAGCACACAGGAGGCTGAGGCAGGAAGGTAGTGAGTTCCTGGTCAGCCTGAGCTATGTAGACAGACAGTTCTAGGCCAGACTGAGCTATGTAATGACATCCTGTCTCAAAAGCCAAACCAAACCAAAGCGATCCAAAACAAAACAAAACAAACATAAAAAGTAGGAGCGTAGCAATTCCATAGTTTGGTCCCCAAGGAGATGTGGAAGTCTAGATTAGAACAATGCCAGAAGGACCCACAGTTTCCAGTGACAAGTCACTCACAGATTTTTGGAATGTCCTTCCAGACCCAAGTGAAATTAGCCTCAAGGAGCTACACACAGAATAAACCAGACTTTTTCTTTTTCTTTTGTCCTCTCTCTCTCTCTCTCTCTCTCTCTCTCCCTCTCTCTCTCTCTCTCTCTTTGGTGGGGAGGAGGGTGTATAGCATCAGGGATAGCTGGCCCCCAGAGTAGGCTAGTCGCACCCCAGCCTTCTACTGAGCTCTAGGCCACACTCACTGATGAGTTAAGGTCTCAAATTCGGCCCCAGCCAGGAGCCTCTTGGCCCCACCCGTCAGAGGCCAGTCACGAGGGCTCAGCACAAAACCACAGCTGCTCCTCCCAGCTGTGGTGGGGCCAGCCCACCAGATGTGAGGGCTGGGGGAGGGGAGCCTGAGGCCGCCCCTTCCCGCACTGAAGGCCTGCCCGCTGGACACAATGGTCTGGAGCTGCTCCAGATCTTCGCCTGCTGGGGGAGCCCATAGTTTCCTCTGCCCACCCCACCCCCTTCCTTCCCGCCAGCCAGAGGCAGAGTTAAAGCTGTGTTAGAAGGCCCCTTCAAGTCTAGCCGCCTGAGAAAGGCCCTGGAGACCAGGCCCCTCAGCTTCCAGCCTGACCCTCGTTTCCCCACCCCCTTGTACCAACCTCCCACCTCCGATCCAAGTCCTTAACTAGGAACCACAAGTCTTTCCCTGTGTGTCCTGGGGCAGACCTGGAAGTTCCATGTCTGTCTCTGTGTTCTCTGGGTTTCTGGAAGGGACAGTCAACGTTTATTGCAAAGGACCAGATGGTAAATATTTTAAGCTTTCTTTGTGGGCCTCATAGGGCCTCTGTCATACATGGATCTTTGTTTCTTTTTTTACAACTCTTGGAAAAAATATATAACAATTGGTAGCTGAATCTGGCCAATAGGCCATGCATGGTTTGCTGATCCAAGTCAGAGGAAGTCAGGACTGAATCACTGAGGGGACATGAGCAGAGAAACTGTGAGCTCCCAGGTCTTGGGCAAGTCCTACTTCTGACTACCTCTGGTCCTCCCTAGCCTGCCACAGAATAGCAGGATTATCATACAACTAAGATTTTGGGCTCAAAGCTGGTCATATTCAAGTCTAGTCTTAGTGTGGCCCCAGTTTGCTGGCCTGAGTAGGCTCCGGGGTAAGCCCTGCAGGCCAGGCCTGGGGCAAGCCCACAGCTGTCTGCTGCTGCCCTCACTCTTCACCCCTTGCAGATCGTGATCTTCCCGGGGAGGGGGTAATTGACAGGGACTGGGGGTGGCTGAGGACTACCTCATGAGTCAAAAGTCCCTACCTCCTTTCTCTGCCACCCCTACACAGAGTGTGCACCCCCACCTGCCCCTCATTCCCAGTGGGGGAGCCATGGGGAAGGGTGGAAGAATGACACCCTGGGCTGGGTTAAATGCTGTGTGTGTGTGTGTGTGTGTGTGTGTGTGAACACGCCCCCCCCCTCACTCCACCCCAGCACCTCATCTTTTGGACCACCACAGGGGCTGGGATGGGGGTGACTCACCGCTGCTGTTCAGGACTCTGACTGAGGTTCTTCCAGCGGAATCCTGAGCCCTGGGGCAGGAAGACAGACAAGAGAGACAGGTGAGAGGGGGCTGTCCTTGAGCAGAAGCTGCCAGCCACCCTCTAGGAGGTCCTTTACCTGGGCTCCAGCTCTGGATACAGCACTCCATTTCCCACCTGTCTGCCCTTTCCCCGTCCCACACCTGTTTAGGTGCTGATGTATCTTTACTGAATGCAATTATTAGTATTCCCTCCAGGCTTGACCCCTGACTCCTGGGACCTTGGGGACACAGCTGTCTTCCTGTGTCTGAGATGACTCCTTGAGGTTTATCTTAAAGGTTTCATGACCCTCTGAGTCCTGGATCATGACCCTAGAATGGTCTTAACCCACCCCCATGGGACCCATGTCTGTAAGGGCTTGGCCTTCCAGACCCTAAAAGCTGAGGCTTGGGCTTTTCCCCAGCAAGATTCAAAAAGGGGTAGGGAACCCACAGGCTTCCCTAGCAAGACACTCCAAGACCCCGTGCCAGGTGAGTCCCCATCTAATGACCAAGTGAGTGACTTGGGAGAGCTGAGACAGAGGCCCAGGCCTGAAGAGATGGCAATCAGCTTGGAATGTGGCAGAGGAGGTGCTAGTTGGCTTCAGGTCCTTGCTGCAGGTACCTTCAGCCATTCCTGGGTCTCTCAAAATTACCATGTATTTTCTGGGACACACACACACACACACACAAATCTTAGAGGCCAAACTTGTGTCACTATACTTAAGGAGTGACAGTGTGGGTTCTTTGGGGGAGAAGAGGTGACAAAGCTGAAGACCCTTGTCTCTTCGGGGCCCTCAATACCCAAAAGCGATGTCTTTCTTTACCAAAATTTGGTACCTGGAGGAAGCCCCATCCAGGACCAGTTCTTTCTCCAAGTGCCCAAACACCCAAACAGCCCAAGATCTTCCTGCTTGGTGCTCTGGACAATCCGCGTCCGGCTCCAAGACAAGAAAGAGGTGGGGGCTCTCTTTTTTTCAGAACCAAAGATTAGCTTGGGGCTATGTGTGCATTTCCTAAATGGGCCAAGAAGGAAGGACTAGGCAGCAACAGAGAGACCCCTTTGTCTTTCAAATGATTTTCATAAAATGCAAATTCTCAACAAGCTGCTCATTGTGTATGGGGGGGGGGGAACTAAGGGAGGGGAGGGGTGCTGCCTGGAGAAAGGCCACCAGTTCCCTCTCCTTAACCTGGAAGTCGCGGGTCGCTGAGTGCTCAGGTCCTGGAGGCCAGAGGAAGAGCCCCAAGGAGAGGGAGCCGCAGAAGACGGGTGCGGCCCCATCCTTCCTGCCCCTAGAGCGCCCCGCGACCCCTCCCACCGCGTCCGGTCCTGGCTGAAGTCCAAGGAGCGGTGCCCTCGCACCCACCCCGCACCACAGTTGTGGGGCAAGGCAGTAGGCCCCAAGTTCAGGAATCTGAGCGCCCCTCCGGAAGGGTGTGCTCTCTCGGATCACGTACTTCTTTAAGAAGGGAACGGCACGCGGCGCGGCGACCAACCCGGTCTCTCTCCCGCTTGGGGCTCTGGGCACCTTCACTCGTGTGGGGAGAGCAGAAGGATCTAGCCCAACTGCAGAAAAGCTCGGGAGAGGGGGTCCTGGGAGCTTCCAGACACTTGGCTCTGGAGAGGCAGGACAGGGATATGGGGAAAAGAAGGGTGAGGGGCGCACGAAGCCAGGTGGAGTAGGTCGGAGAAAGGGGGTGTTGGGACGGAGTCAAGGCAGAAGAAGAGAGGGAGAAGAAGGGGGGGGGGACGAGGGCGGAGAGTGGAGTTGAGAGATTGGGGGCGGCGTGGAGGCGGGGGGCCGGGTGGGGACGTTTTGCGCCTTCTTGGAGAGGCCGTGGGAAGTCAATTCGGGTCAGAGGGCTGGACAATGTGGGACAATCAGCGGACCCGGAGCAGAGAGTACTGTGTGGAGGGGTGGGAGGGTCAATCAGGCGCTGGTTGGGGTTCAGCAGGTCCTGAGCATGGGACCCAGAGTACGGAGACTCGGGGCGCAGAAGGACGCACCTTTCGGCGGGGCAGGGTGCCGCCGGACACGGCGAGCGCGCGGTACAGCTCGGCAGGATGGTAGTCCTCCAGCGCCGCGTACAGCTCCTCGCCCGGGGGACCCGGGGTAGCCGCCGCAGCCGGGCCACCCGAGGCCGGGATCGGGGTGGGAGCAGCTTCGGAGTCCGGAGCCCGGCCGGCTGGGTCCGGGGCGGCCGCTGCCTCCTCCTTCTGCTGCAGCTTCCTGAGCCGGCGGAGGGTCATGGCTCCGGCGCCCGGCGCCCCTCCAAGGCGGCTCCGGCTCCCCTCGGTGGCGGTAGAGGCAGCTGGGGGATGCCAGCCGAGCCAGCCGCGTGTCGCCTCCCTTTATAGGCTTCGGAGCCGCGTGGGGCGCAGCCCGCGGTGGCCTCGCCCCCAGCGCGCAGGCTCCGCCCCCAGCGCGCAGGCTCCTCCCCAGCGCGCAGGCTCCGCCCCCAGCGCGCAGGCTCCGCCCACGAGAGGTTGGGGGAAGACCGCTGTCCCGGAGCCCCGCCTACGACGTTCGGTGACCTGCCAGCCTTGGGCCAAATTCTAGCGCACCGAGGCACTCAAAGGTCGCAACCTAGCGGCAGATCTGAGCAGGATGGGGCAAGGGGGAAACATGCTATTTTAGGGCGGGGCTGGGGTTTGTGTGATAACTGGAGAGGGTCTGTGAAGGGCCTTTGCACGAAATTTGAAATTTGGGAATGGATGGATTTAACAATTCATGCAGAGGGGCACATGAGGGATCACTGCGAGGAAGCTTGGGAGCCCTTAGAAGGTTCGAGATCCAAAGTAGTCTCCAGCAGGAGACTTTAGGCCAGTGGAGAGAAGTCGAGGGGCTATGTAGGGGGAGAAGGAGAGTGGAGACACTCCTGGACTGACTAGGTAGAAACCCAATAGGGCGTGAGAAGGCCTGAATTTCTCCTCTATACCAATGCCCCAGAATTGCTGAAAGAGCCTGCATACCACATCTAGGGTAAAGGGAGAAGGTGGAAAACTGAACGCAGGACAGGGATTCTGGCACGTGCTCTCTACGGTCTGGATAGAGTGGTCCCTGAGGGATAGACTTCTTCTGGGTTGTGATGCTGGACCTCAGGCCCCCTTTTCCCAGATTGACTCATGGGGGTGGGGGTGTGCCCGAGCAGAGTGAGTGCTCAGAATTGATGAGCCATCCACAGACCCTGTGTTAGGGACCATTCCTCAGACTCTGTTACCATGGCTGCCAGGCTGTAGGAGAGGCTGGGATGGCCCAGCCCCAGACTTTCGTCAATGGTGCCTGAATAAGAAGTGAGAGAAGGAAGTGGAAGGCCATGTATAGTCACTGGAGGACGTCAGCACAAGCCTGGGCTACACATTCCAACGGGAGCCACTACAGAGTGGCTTGGGCTACACTGTCCCTGTCTCCTTTCTCTAGACTTTCCATATCTGTATGTCAAGGGTGTGTGTGTGTGTGTGTGTGTGTGTGTGTGTGTGTGTGTGTGCTGGTACTGGGACTTGAACTCAGGGCCTCTCACTCTTGTTTGGATTTTTCTGCTCAAGGATGGTACTCTACTACTTGAACCACATGTCCACTTTTGACTTTTTGGTGGTTAACTGGAGATAAGTCTCATAGACTTTTCTACCTGGGCTGGCTTCAAACTGTGATCCTCAGATCTCAGCCTCCTGAGTAGCTAGGATTACAGATGTGAGCCACCAGTGTCCAGCCCTGCACAGTTCTTCATCCTGCCTCTGAGCCCTTCTCTTCACCACCTGGTACCCACTAGGTGCTGGGGTTAAGGGTAGCTTTTGGTCTGGAAGGGAGTGGCATACTGTGCATATGCTTTGCATAAGGAGTGCAAAGGGGCAGAGTCCACACCCATCTAGGGAGGCCAGGCAAGGCTCTCTGTCTCAGTTCACCAGTCTGGCTCAGTCTCACAGACTGTCTCCTGCCCACATCTACCCCCACACCCCTGGGCCCCCGGCCCCACTAAGGTATGGGTGGGTGTGAGTGTTCCTCCAGCCCTCAGTAATTGCACAAGTCCAGATGGCAGGATGTATGTGGGGTGGGAGGCAGGGGAGGCTTGGGCACTGTGGAAGCTGAGAGCTCCCTCCCTCAGGGCCCTCCTGTCCCACCTCCTCCTTGGACCACCAAGTGGCCATCAGCTGAGGGGCTGAGAGGGTGTCAGTGGGGAAACACGGGACTCTATTGTGAGCATTAGCACAGATGGACCCCTGGACCGTCTGTTGCCTCTTCCTGACAGACTGGCATCTGTGGCGGGGGAGGGGAGGGGTGGCAAAGGCAGAGGAGCAATAATTTCTTTTGTACTCATTCCAGTGCTCATCGCTGAAGGGACCCCACAGCACTCCTAGTCCAAACTCTTTCATAAAGGATCCACAGAGTCATCTCCTTGCCTGAAGCCTGCCCAAGTGGCTTCATTTGTGTCTAACAAGCCTGACTACAGTTCTCCTTCAGGTCAGTATGGAGGTGGGGTCCCACTTCCCTGCTCACCCCCTTCTCGGTTTATGCAAGTGAGAAAGGCTCCCTGACTTTAAGTGAGAGGACACCAGGAGAAAAGAAGTTCACACCTCAGTTTCCTCCTCCACAGGGCAGAAAAAGTACTAGAGACCAACAGAGTAAGGATGAACTCAAAAAAGCCATTTTCTCCTATCCTTTGTGTTACTTCCTTAAATCCTGAGGTTTCAGAGCCAGAAAGGGCCTTATACTCCGGAAAGAACAGCTGTGGCATAAGTGTTTATGTCACAGAGGTGAGGGAGGGAAAGACTCCAGTAGAACAGGCTGGGGAACCCGGGAGTCCTGACTCATACCACCAATTCAGTCCCTGAATCTGTGCTTGCTTCATCCCCAGTTTTTCCAGGAAGCAATGGAGCAGGGAGGGGGGTGGGTGTGTGTGGGGGGGGGGGGGCGAATGCCACACTACGGAGTGGTAATGCCCTCTGCTGGTCATGAGATTGATGGTGAAAAAAAAAATCTTCAAACCAAAAGGTTGGCTGGCTGGTGCCAGGTACCACCTGTACTTCCAGCCACATTTTAGGATGGGTCAGACACAGTCCTTGTAGCTCCCAGGAGAATCCGTCCAGCTGGCCACAGTTGTGGAATCTCACACTTGTCAGGGAGGAAGCTGTCTCTGTGTGCAGGACTCTGCTTCTGCCTTGCTCCGGGTGAAAGCCAGCAGGGGCAAGGGAGGCAGCTGCTGGCCTTCTCAGGGCAGCAACCTTCCCATGCCACAGTGGGCATGAGGCTCCAGAGTCCCTGCCTTCCCACGCTCTCCCCCACCCCCTCCTGAGCCCCAGTCTTTGCTCCAGCATCTGTTTTTCTCATCCAATCTGCTGCAGCCCTTTCCAGCCTAGGGTGGGGAGCTTTCTGCAGGCTGTCTGTAACTTCATGTACCAGCCCACTCCCCCTCCACGCCTCCTTGCAAATCCCCCATGGTCAGGACTCCTGAGACATCTGTCCTCCATCTGCGCATGATTCTCAGGCAGGTTTCTCTCTTTGGATGAGCTTGAAGGTTTCTCTTCCTCTGGTTCCAGCTGTCCTGGCAACCAACATTCAGGATGGGGGCTCGGGGAGGGAGGGATGGCATGGGTAGGGACTTTGGGTAGTAGGGGAGGGGGAATGGTGAATGGTAAGGTCAGATACCATCTCTTCTTTTCTGGAAAAGCGTTTACTCAGACACCCACTAGTCAACAACCCCTGTGGGAGAAATGCAGAGAGCTGACTCTTGCCCCCCATGGACCAGCTTAAACTCTGGGACAGCATCAGGAAGTTGAGTCACTTGAGCCCAGAGCTATACAAGTTTAGGCCTCTGGAGTCTCATTCTGTCTCAGGCTTCTAGCATAGAGCTAGAGGATCCAGGACTGGTCAGGTCAAAGAGCTTGCTGGAGCTCCTCTCTGGGTGTTGATGCGGCAGACAGAAGAGGGCCTGGGGCTCAGCTGGTTCTCTGGTTTGTTAAGGAATGAGGGGCTGGGCCTCCCATTGGATGACATCAGCTCTTGCAGGAGGCATGGACAGCTGGTGGGCAGCTGGCTGGGCAGGGAGTGATTGTTTTTCTGAATGGCTCCTGTTGCCCAACAATTCTCGTGGTCTGTGTTGGTGCTGGTGTTCTGCTAGGGGAGAGTGTCTACCTACAGGATTGATTCAGTACAGCTCCAGTGATCTGAGAGACTGGAGTAGAAGGCAGGTGGACATAGCAGTTTGTGTTGGATGTGGGTAACTCTTGGTCTTTCCCACCCAGAGGTTAGGGACCATCTTGCCTATTGGACGGGGGTTGAGGGAGTGTGTCTCTACCTACAACAAGTTAACAAGTTGACTTGGTATGAGGAAGGGAGGCAAACTCTAGTTTTCATCACAGCATTTTTGAAGAAATAGAGTCTGTATGATCTTACCCCTTAATGTCAGTATACTCTTTACTCAAGGTAAAGACCAAAAATGACAGTTCTGAGGGCCCTACCTGCCCAGCAAACATACTGCTCAAGTTGGTTAATCCCTGTTTTCCTCTCCAAGACCAGCAGTGTGCATCACCCTTCCCAGTCTCCAAACACAAGACTACCAGGCTGAGACTGCCTTATTAATGCCAGGCTGGATTTGGCTCCCATTTCCCACAACAGTTCCATCTGGTCATTCCCCACCTGAGTACTCTGCCATCCAGTACTCTGCATGGCCCCCCAAAGGCAGACACCCAAAGACAAACATGACCTCATCATGTGCAAACCTCCCTACTATGTTCTGAATATTGGTGTCCCTCAAAATTCTATGTTGGAACTCAGTACTTAAGGTAATCATATTAATATAGGGCCTTTAGGGGGTGATTAGGTAAGAAAGAGTCTGTTAACATGAATGGAGTCAGTGCACGCATAAAGGAGGCTGAAGGGGGCCTGCTTCCCCATCTTGCCTGGTGAGGATTTGTAAGGCATGATCTGTGATGAACAGGCCTTCTGACACACTGAGTCTGCTGGTGCTTTGAACTTGGATTTCTCAGCCTCCAAGAAAAGTGAACAATAGAAATTTATGCTCATAAATTATCCAGTCTAATATGTCCACCCATACACACCCTGGGGATGGAACCCAGGGCTTCTCACATATGGGCAAGTACTCTACCACTGAGCTATACCCCAAGCCCTAAGGTGGTAATAATAATTATTATTATTGTATGTATATTGATACAGGGGCTTAAACTCTAGACTTCTCACTTTTGCTTGCTTTTTTCCATTCAAGGCTGGCATTCTACTACTTGAGCCACTTATCTACTTTTTTTTTTGCTGGTTAATTAGAGATCAAGAGTCTCATTGACATTTCTGCACAGACTAGCTTTGAATGCAATCTCAGGTTTT